CACGAAGGCTCTCTAGCTTTCATGTCTACAGACACCGCCGCGCAGTCTGCCTGAGGCAGACGTTTTGGCATTTTGTCTATTCATGGCCTTGCACCGCCTTCCGTTATTTACACTCGTGACTGATTTAATCTTTTGGATTCTGTCTTCATTTAGAAAATGACTTTGAGAATATTTGCTTTGGAAAATGAAGATAATGTTAAGAACTTGCCTTGTAATATACTCTTAATAACTTCTACTTATGTGCTAAAATTATTTTTTTATAGAGCATTTTCTACATTGAGAATCAAAAGGAATATGAAAATCAAAAAGCTGCTCGGAAGAGGAGAACACAGGTGCTGGGGAAGAAGATGAAGCAAGCTATTAAAAGTCTAAATTTTCAAGAAGATGATGATACATCACGAGAAACTTTTGCAAGTGATACAAATGAGGCTCTGGCCTCTCTTGATGAGCCGCAGGAAGGACATGGAGAAACAAAGTTGGATACAGAGGAATCCTTTGAGGTTGATCATTCTCATGATATAGACATCTTTTAATGGATTCGACAAGTTTGGACATTGGGAGGAACAAGCCTTTCAAAGTTAACATGGTAATGAACCGCTCCTACCAGAGTGCTTTGTTGTACTTCGCACTGATAACCCGGAGGTGCGAGAATTTTCTGTTTCAAAGGGAGTATGTGGGGTGTTAAGTGTGACTGATAGTAACAGTTAAAATGTTCTCGTGTTAATTATGAATATCACTAGTTGATGATCATTTTTTTCCAGTCATGCCATCCCACTTGAAAGTCTGTTTTCCTGGATTTATCTTTGCAACGAATAACACTGATTTCAAAATATCCCAACAAGAGGGTCTTACTGGGCACAGAGGAGCCTTGTCACAGTGGTGAACCTGCTCAGCTGCTGTCCAGTAGCTTGCTGGCTCACACCCCACAGGGGTCCCACGGCAGACAGGCCTGACCATCAGGTGTGAGGACCAACCTAGAGAAGTCTTTCTACTCTGCCACGGGGCATTGCCTTGAATGAAAAAATCAGCTCACCCAACTGCAATGAAAGACATAAATTGTGAAGCTATTGTAAATGCACCGAATTTTGTTTTTCTGTATTTTAAGAACAATTAGGCCATTTTACAGTTAAAGACTAAAAGTAAGTTGATATTGCTGGCATTTTCTATTTATTTGTCAGGAATCAGTAAATGTTAGAGCTTTTCAAAGAATTGTTAGTTCTTCAACTTGGTTTTTGACTTACTTTAATTAACTTGGTCATGTACTGAATAATGAATGTAGTCCAAATCTGTGTATTCCCATGGACATGTAAAACCTAACAGCACCAGTCTGCTTTGGACTCTTTTACCTTATGTTAAGGAAGTAAGGTGTAACTATTGTCATACCTGCATGAAGTTCTACACTTTTATTAATGACAAAAATAAAAGTTTACGTAAGATGTCATGAGAGTTGATTATAGTTTACACATTTAAAAATGTTGGAAGCAATTATAAACTATTCTTACAATGTATTTGAAGTTCTTCAGTAGTTCTTAAAACAGGGTTGCTGAAGTATGTAGCTGGGAAGAGAAAGGGAAAATGATCGTTGGTTGCTTTTTTATTAAGGCAAAAATAAAATTAGATTTTTGGCAGTCCTTAATGAGCTTCAAGTCACTGTATTTTTGTTCAAAATAATTTTATTGGGAGTTAATACAGATATATGATTCCATACTTCAATCACATCAAGCATATACAATTGCTACCACAGTCAGTTTCAGAACATTCTTTTCCTTCTGAACTCCTGGACATCAGCCCTTTTGTACCACCCCCAACACCATCACTCCACCCCCAGGAGCCCCTCCTCCGCTTGCTGTCCATATAGGGTCATCAATCCTGGGTTTCATACATAGAAAACATAACCAAAATTCAAGAAGGTAACTCCCAATGATAACACATCTGAGATAAACCCCAATAAGAACAAATCAAAAAAATGTTGAAAACCAGATGAGACACAAGATATGACAAAATAACAATTTATAAACTATCAAGGGCTCATGAGGGAGGGGAAAAATGAGGACCTAATGCCGGGGGTTTAAGTGGAGAGAAAATGTTTTGAGAATGATGTACAAATGTGCTTTAC